TCGATCTTCAATGCTGTTGATGAAACTCAAGCGAAGCTGATATCAAACTGCAAAGTTGCTAAGGAAGCATGGGATATTCTTGAAAATGCATTTGAAGGGTCTGTGCAGGTTCGAGAATCAAAGCTGGATCATGTTGAAACTCTGTTCGAAGCACTAAAGATGAATGAAGATGAAACAATTGCTGTCTATCACAACCGATTCATGGATGTTGTAAATCAAGCTGAAGCTCTTGGTATGCACTTTGAAGAAAAGAGACTGGTGAGAAAAATGCTTAAAAGTCTCACAAAAAATTTTAGGCCAAAGGTGATTATGCTCGATGAACCACCAAAGCTGAGACACATGACATTGGATGAACTATATGGCACACTGGTAAGCTATGAAATGAACTATCTTGAAGATGAAGCACCCAAAAGTGTGGCTCTGAGTGCTGAAGACTTGGAGATGATTGAGTCTGATGAAGAAATGGCTCTGCTGAGTCGTAAACTTTCTCGAATGATCAGTGAGAAACGAGCTGCCAAGCTAAAGTTTGGGAAGTTTCAAAACAGGAATAGCTATCAGGGAGGAGGTACATCCAGCTCTTAGCGAAAGTATCCTGAGCAGAAACCTACTGCATACAGCAAACCGAAAGATAGATTTGATGGTGGATTTAAGAAGAAGTTTGTAGTGTCTGCAAAACCTGAGACGGTTCAAGAACCTACCTGTTATGGATGTGGTGGTGTTGGACATATTAAATCTGAGTGCCCAACAGTTAAGAAAAGGGAGAAAAGGGCATATCAAGCTACCTGGAGTGACAATGAAGATGGTGAATCTGCTGGTGGTGATGAACAGACTGAGAATCATGAAGTTGTTGCATTCATGGCAGATGATGATGATTCCAGTGATGAGAAGACAGAATCCAGTTCTAAAACTACTGATGAGTCAAGAGAACTTGATACTGATGAGTTGATTGAGGCTTATGAGGAAATGGTTGCCGAGCAAAAGAAAGCTGTTGTAAAAAATAAAGAACTTCTGGATACCATTTATCGTTTGGAAGCTCAAAAGGAGAAACTTGAAGATGAACTTGAGAAGTTGACAAAGATCATTGAAGTTAAATTTACTGAATCAAAGGAATTGCAGTCAGATAATCTGAAGTTGAAGAATGAAAATGATAGACTTCGGAAAGGGAAGGAAAAATTGGATGAAGTCCTCTCAATTGGTAAACCGTTTGGTGATCACAAAGGATTAGGCTTCTGTGAATCCTCTCAAAGTAGACCAACTACATTTGTGCGAGGTGGTCTGCTTACTGATGTCAAACTTCCAGAAAAGAAATCAACTCAAGTCTGGAAACAGAATTCAAGAAAGAAAAGAAGCAGAATCAGAAACAAAAACCACAGAAAAACTCAGAGTGAGATGACAAAGCTGTCACAATCTACTAACTGTAAGTACTGCATGTATCCAGGTCATTCGGCTGTGAAGTGCTTGAAGCTGGCAAAAGATGTTATCAGTGGGAGACGGATTCAATGGCCTACTGAAGAGCTGAAACAGAACATTAAGGTCAAGTTTGTATGGATACCTAAGGAGACTCAGAAACAGCTCGAGTGTAATGTGATCTTGTCAAGTCAAGAGTCTACCAGAGCTGATCGATGGTACTTTGATAGTGGTTGCTCAAGGCACATGACTAATCAAAAGGGAATTCTGAAGAATTTTGTCGAAGACCGAAGTGGAGAAGTCATTTTCGGAGATGGAGCAAAAGGAAAGATCAGTGGCTATGGTATTCTTGAAAGAGAAGGAATTCCAAGGTTATCAAAAGTCTATTTCGTAGAAGGGCTGAGTACGAATCTGATCAGTATAAGTCAACTATGCGATGATGATCTACATGTGAAGTTCACCAAGGATTCATGTGAAGTTTATGACACTGCACAAAAATGTGTGATGACTGGTATTCGTTCGAAGAACAATTGTTACTTACTGGAATATCCTCAAATGGAAGCACTGATATTGAAGGATGATGAATCGATGCTGTGGCACACCAGATTAGGTCATGTGAATCCACAGAATCTGTTGAGGATCAGCAAAATTGGAGCTGTCAGAGGACTACCAAAATTTTCAAAGATTCCAAATACTACTTGTGGTGACTGTGCAAGAGGAAAGCAGAAAAGGGCTGTGCATTCCTCGTTGGAACAACAGTTCAGCAGCAACTGTCTGGAGCTGTTACATATGGATCTCATGGGTCCAGTTGATGTTTGCAGTCTTGGAGGAAAGAAGTATATCTTGGTCTGTGTAGATGATTTTTCGAGATATACTTGGGTCGATTTCTTACGTGAGAAAAGTGATGCGTTTGATGTTTTTGAGAAACTGGGTACGAGACTCATGAATGAGAAGAAATCAAAGATTAACAGATTGAGAACAGATCATGGAAAGGAATTTGAAAATCAAAGATTTGCTGGATTTTGCAATGGATTGGGAATCAGGCATGAATTCTCTGCTCCAAAGACTCCACAACAAAACGGAGTAGTGGAAAGGAAGAATCGAACGTTACAAGAGATGGCTAGATCAATTATGCATGCAAAGGGAGTAGCCAAATATCTATGGGCTGAAGCTGTCAACACAGCTTGCTATGTGATTAATCGAGTTTATCTCAGATCTCACACAGAGAAGACAGCCTATGAAATCTGGACAGGAAAGAAACCAAATGTTTCTTACTTTCATACCTTTGGATGTAAGTGCTATATAATGAAGGACAGAGATCAACTTCATAAGTTTGATACTCGATCAGATGAAGGCATATTCTTGGGATACTCACTGAACTCGAGAGCTTACAGAGTATTCAACAACCGTACCAAGAAAGTGATGGAATCCATGAATGTGATATTCGATGATACCATCTCAGAGAAAAAATCTATTCACTCAAATGATGATGATGATGAAACTGCACCAGATGTTAAGGTGACTCAGAATCCTTCAGAGGTTCAAGTCATTCCTCAGTCCCAAGATGTTCTGCCACAGACTGGTGACAACATTCCTGCAGAAAGTTCTGTAAGATTCGATTGGTCAGAACCTGAATGCTCAACGGATGTAACAACAACCAATCAACAACCTGCTGAAACTGAATCAGATGCTGAAGTGAGGAGACATGGTTCAAGAATTTCACATAATCATCCAATTGATGCAGTTATTGGTGATCCAATTGGTGGTCGACTGACTCGAGGGAAACAGATTGATTTCAAGAATTTGTCTGGGATAAACTGTTTTATTTCTACAGTTGAGCCAAAGACAGTAGACGAGGCCCTCAAGGATGAATACTGGATCAATGCAATGCAGGATGAGTTGAATCAGTTTACAAGAAACCGAGTATGGTATCTGGTTGAAAGACCAACTGATGTGAATGTCATTGGAACTAAGTGGATCTTCAAGAACAAATCTGATGAAAAAGGGAATGTTACCAGAAATAAGGCGAGATTAGTTGCACAAGGGTACACACAAATTGAAGGGGTTGATTATGATGAAACATTCGCTCCTGTTGCCCGCATTGAAGCAGTGAGATTGCTGGTGTTTGTTGCATGTTCCTTGGGTTTTACTCTCTACCAGATGGACGTCAAGACAGCATTTTTGAATGGATGGATTAAAGAAGAGATCTATGTAGAACAACCAAAAGGATTTGTGGATCCTTTCCATCCAGACCATGTCTACAGGTTACGAAAAGCCTTGTATGGATTAAAGCAAGCGCCTAGAGCGTGGTATGAAAGATTGTCAAATTATCTGCTGGAGAAAGAATACGTTCGAGGATCAACTGATAAGACAATGTTTATCAAGTTGAAGGGAAAAGATTTGATGATTGCACAGGTGTATGTTGATGATATTGTGTTTGGGTCGACTGCAGAATCCTTGAAGAATGAATTTGTGAAATTCATGGAAGCCGAATTCGAAATGAGCATGATCGGTCAGCTTAATTACTTTCTCGGATTGCAGGTTAAACAACATGCAGATGGTATCTTTCTGAGTCAAACCAAGTATGCTCAGAACATGGTGGAGAAGTTTGGACTTCGAGATTCAAAAGGAGTCAGAACTCCTTTGGGACAACAAGAAAAGTTGTCGAAAGATGATGGTGGAAAAACAGTTGATCAGAAACTCTATAGAAGCATAATTGGAAGCCTTCTCTACCTGACTGCAAGTCGTCCAGACATCTCCTTCAGTGTTGGTGTATGTGCAAGATTTCAATCTGCTCCTAAGGAATCACATCTTAAGGCAGCAAAGAGAATTCTCAGATATGTCAAAGGAACGACAGAACTAGGATTGTGGTATTCCAACAGGTCTGGTCTTGATCTCATCGGATTCACAGATTCAGATTGGGCTGGCTGTTGTGATGACAGGAAGAGCACAACTGGTGGATGCTTTTATATTGGAGATAACATTGTTAGCTGGAGTTCGAAGAAGCAAAATTCCATTGCCTTATCGACTGCCGAAGCTGAATATATAGCTGCTGGAAGTTGCTGTGCTCAGTTGTTGTGGATTCGACAAATGCTACATGATTATGGTATTGCTCAAGACTCATTCACCCTGTTTTGTGACAATACTAGCGCCATCAATATTTCCAAGAATCCCGTTCAACATGGAAGAACAAAGCACATCGACATACGGTACCATTTCATTCGAGACTTGGTGGAAAATGGAGTATGTGATTTAAAGCACATTGGAACAAATGATCAAAAGGCTGATATTCTCACAAAGGCTCTAGATGTTGATCGATTCGAAAAGCTACGAAGGGATTTGGGTATGTGCTCAAGTCCTCCTTGATGATGCATGCTTAAATAAATAAATAAACATCTCCATTTTGTTTGGGAGAAAATTGGAGATTAAAAATAGTCTTCTGAAAATATCAAAAAGAAGAAGGATCATTTTGCGAAAAGAGAAAATCTGCATCAAGGATATTATCGGTATTTTGAGAAGGGTTTTAAGTTTAAAACCCAAAAAGAGATGATTTGACGGCTCTGCGTCACTGCTCTGGATGTCATCACAGCCTTATGGGAAGTGGTGTTTCAGAGGACATTGAATACATAACTCGAACAGGTCACTCGTCTTCCTCATTTCGCGTGATTTCATATTTCGCTGAGTACAGTGGTGAGGGTTATCCTTACTCTTCTTCCTACAATTCTCTCTTGGAGAGAACAATGGTGCGAACTCGCTTTGGAAAGGAAACAGGGTCAGGAAGTACAGTTGCTCGAGGACGTGGTCGTGGAAGAAACAGAGGTCGTGGGCGCCGTGGTGGACGAATCAGCTCTTCTCCACCTCCCACCGAACCAGTTAGTGAGATTCCAACTCAACCTGAAGCAAGCGAGGAAGTTCAGGCTGTGGTCACTGACAGTGTGACTCCGCCCTCTCCTAGGGATCACATTGCTGATGCCGAGGAACTTGTGCAGAAAACCCTTGATGAAACTCAAAATGATAGTCCTGAGGATGATATTCCTGGAGATCAAGCGACTGATCATGCTGAAAAAGAGGACGATGGGAAGGAACAAGAGATTGGTGAAGCTGATCCCAGAAATGTTGAGGAAGACACCATGATACACTCCGAGGGAGCCCCTGAATCTGAACAACAGAGGATCGAAAAGGGTACTTCACCCCTTCATCCTGAGGAACCAGCGGTTACTCATGAAGGTGCAACTGCTGAACTCTCTTTGTCTCTTTCTGATGAAAGTCTCAACACAATCATAGATAGAACTGTTGACAAACTTTTTTCTGAACGAATGGAGCATGAAAATGCTGTGGTGATGCCTGCACCGGTTGAACCAGAAACCAAGTCTGACGACTCGGACAATGCCCCTCTTGCCACTCTGAGAAAACGCCACTCTGGAAAACAAAAGAAGAAAAGGAAGATTTCTGATGACTTCTCTGGTCCTTCAAAGGAAAGAAAGAAGGTAGTGATTGCCAAGATGAAACTGAAGCAAAAGAAGTCAAAATCTCGAAAAAGGAAAGCTACACTTCCCCCAGTCTCGGCTGAACAAGCAATGGACATTACACATTTCGACGATGGAGCAGAGTTGTTCGAATACGATATCTTAGCCAATCGGAAATTTGTTCCTGAGGCTCGGTTTACCGATCCCCTACACAAAGATGTTGGTTTCCTCGCTTTCTTGAGGATGAAAGGATTGCGACGTTGGGCAGTTTGTCTCAAATCCTATTGCCCGAAGCTTGTCCGGGAGTTCTATGCCAATCTCACACGAGACGTACTGGAAGAGGAAAGTCCTTGGTTCCACAGGGCTTATGTACGGGGAAAGATGATTGAACTCAGTCCTCAAGTGATCAACAAGTTACTACATCTTCCGTCTGATAATCCTGAAGTGTTTCCCTCTACCTTGATCAAAGAATCCCGAAGAGAAGTGGCACTTCGACTATCTGCATGGAAATCAGATGACTTTGGACTAGCTGGCCTGGGTGCAACTGAACTGACTATGAAATATCAGTGTCTGTTTCGATTTTGTGCAATGAATGTTTTTCCCACCAGTAATGGGACTAACATTGGATATGAGATGGGTAAGTTACTTCTCTGCATTGACAAACTTTGTGCTGACATCAATTTCGGCTTTGTTGTCATCTCCAGAATGATGAAGTATGCCCGCGGCAAGTCATTTGACAAAACGAACCTCCCATATCCGGCCCTCATTACACTGTTACTGAAGCAGAATGGGATCCTTCCTGATCCCACTGAAGATTCAATTCAAACAACATTTTTCAAGCCTAGGTCGAACTTGCACAAGCTTTTCAACGACTTTAAGGAACCTCTCCCAGCCGATCCGTCCGGTCAGCTCTTGGAAGCCCGAAGGATACTTCTTGAAGTTTTGCAGGAACAAGCTTCTATTCACTCCACCTTAGCTGAACATAGGAAGAAAATCATTCGTGCTCTGCATCTTCATCCTCGGTTTGCCTCCGGTCCAGATGAGGAGGAGGAAATCCCTGACTTCCTATAAGCATCCCAGCCTTTTTTGGCATCTGTCCACGCACGGGGGAGAGATGCAGGAGAGAGGGGGGATTGCTGCTGCATTACTGGAAGGAATGGGATCATCGGATCATCAAGAAAGGGGGAGCTCTGTTTGAACTGTGTTTGTAGCATCACTGTGTCATGACTTCTTCACTGCCTGTTGCTGTTTTAGACTCTTGTTTTGCTGTTCTTGGACTTTAATTTCTGTAAAGGCTGCATGTAGCCTTCTTTGGATTGATGGCATGTAAACCTAACCTTAACTTGCTCTTAATTTGGGTTAATCTACATGTGTGGGAGATTATCTCCTGCATTGTGTGTGGTCACATATGCCAAAAAGGGGGAGATTGTTAAGATAATCTCAATTCCTCTACATCTATTTTTGGCATAGTGACAAAAACACTTTTTGCTTCTGTGGTCGTTGGCATTCAAAAACAGCAACTCTGGCCCTGCTGGTTAAGTCCAATCATGCAGCCCTTTGTGTCCCCTCTCGTTGGTGGCTGCTCAAAGACAAATTGGACATTTCGAATTTGTCTTCTTGTGATCAGAACTGATTTGATACAACATCATTCCTTGGTTAGAACAAAGGGAATTTAATGCATGTCATTTCATGGCTGCTGTGGTTGTATGTTTCACTGTATTAGAGTTTTGGGAAGTGGTGAGAGTGATCTTAGAGAGATTGGGTAGTAAGATAATTATTGTGCTTATCCTCTCAACAACTTCCCTTCCACCTCCATGCATTAAGTAAGTGATTTTCATTGTATTTCTGTTGGAGAAGCTTGGAGATCAAAGGAAGACTGGAGTTCTGATCAGGGGAGCATTCGAACTCTGTGCAGCCCAGCTATGACGGTTGTTAGTACGAGTTTGTAACAACTGAAACCTTGAAGGGTAATTAATTTGTAGCGTGGGTTGGTGGAGGTTTGAGTGTTTTGTTATTAATCAGCACTGATTAATGAACACCTCCTGGATTGGTATCCCCCGGATGTAGGATGGTTTATATCCGAACCGGGTAAACAAATAGCATCTCATTTATTGCTTTGAAATACTTTCATTTACTTCATCGACAAGTGGGTGTCATAACTGTGATATAACTACGCTTCGGGAGGTTGGCCCATTTGGATTTGTGTACGAGGATTTATTGGAGTTGCACTCATTTCCATCCCAACAATAATAATAAAATAAAAAACTGAAATAAAATGAACTGATTTCTAATAAAGATATACTCTCCTCCATCCCATAACAAAGTATCTATTTTTCCATTTTAGTCCTTCTTATAACAAAGTATCAATTTTCTTTTTTAGTAACGGTACTATCTAACTAACATTACAAGTACTCTTACAATTTACAATGTATTACACAAATGTCATTACCTTTATATCACACGTACTAATAAGGTTATTTTAGTCATTTCTACTTATTAGTTATTTTAGTCATTTCTACTTTATTCCTACTACATCCAAATATAATACTAATATTTTTAAAACTACGTGCAAAAAACAAATGAATATTTAATTATGGGACGGAGTATACATTATATATCCCCAAATTTTCAAGAATGTTTGTCATTTGAACAAGCATATTGTTTGTTTGTAAAGCATGGCTTAACATGAAAAAATTACAAAACAAATTACAAACTTCACAGATTTAGTCTAATTACACTTTTAAATGGATCTATATTCAAGTTCATAAGTACTCTCGAATTGATTAGTCTTTATTTTCAAGAAAGTGAGCGAAGTTACACTTTTTTTTTTTTTTGATAACTTAAAAATTCGCAATTGAATCTAATAGTATGTAACTAGACTCGACAAAGCAAATCATACTAGACGATCATCTGTGACAGACAAAATTCAAATGAGTAAGAAATTTAAACTTATAATCTCACGGTCACGAGTCTATCACTACATAACCGGGTGATCTCTTATGGGACTACATAGTTTGTATTCTATATAAAGAAAATCAAACAATTTTCATGTACCATGAATTTTCATGCTCAAACACTACCAAATATATATATATATATATATATGTATATATAACAAAATTTCATTTCTAAATTTTACGTAGCTAACGTAATTTTATTCATAATTTTGTCTCTAATGTTATTACTAACGAAAAAATAAATTTATGGACAAAAAGTATTTTGTTACAAAAGTGTCATTTTTTTGTAGTGAAACCCATGTCTATTTTCTAAGTTAGCATGATCACATTCTATCAAAAGATAAGTACTATCCTAATTCCGTTGAAAACTTAGATAATGATCACATTGCATTTCACTATCAAGAGACGTAATGAGAGGATTATCTTGACATTATATCAAAATATGAAGTGTCATATCTCACCTCTTTGCTATTAATAATGGATGATTGAGAACTACCACTTATAATAAAAAGTCACGGAAATTGTATAATATTTTTTTGTATTTTAGTATAAATACATAAAATATTTTATGTATTGTGTAAAATTATTTTATGTTATTTTAAACTATCCACAAACTATCATTTCAATTTTAAGATGATGTTTGATTGTAAATACACAATTAATTATACAAATAGAAAAAATAAAATATCTTAAATGATTTTATTTGAATAAAATAAATAAATGCTCAATTATTCATTTTATATATTTTTGTAAAAATTGGGCAACGGTTTGTCTAGAAAAACTACTCAATGAACTGTTGATAAATTATTTATTTATTTATTTTTATTCAACAAATACTATTTAATATATTTTACATTATTTAATTATTTGTATAAATTTTGTATTATATGTTTACAATAAAATATCAATTTTGAATTAAGAGTATGGTTTAGGTATACTTTACTTTAACACAAATAAATTTCACACAATATATATAGAGATATTTTGTATACTTTTACTAAAACTCGTTATATAATAGTATATACTAAAATACTTTGAGAATGATAAAAATGTTAAAAAATGTTAGTGAATAATGTGAAATTTGATGAAAAAAAATATATTTGATCTTTTCAAAAAAAAAAAAAAGGAAATTAAATAGCGCAAAAATCCGAAAGTAATACTCCTTCCGTCCGCTTATAAAGTTTACATGTTTTTATTTTGGGACGTCCAATTACAAAGTTTACATTTTATTAAATACCCTATTTTTTTCCACAAATACCTTTACTTTACATCACATCGTTACTTTTACACAAAAAGTAAGGACAAAAATGTCATTACACTACTTTTAACTATTCACTATAATTAAAATACTATTATTTCTTAAATACCGCGCCAAAAGTAAATGTAATCCTTGTAAATGAACGAAAGGAGTATCATATAAACAGAGTCATAATGTTGTGGATCAATTTCAACAAATATAATAAATAGATTATACAAATAAAGGATTGGTGTAAGTATCATTGAAGGAATAATAGGAAGGTCCCTTAATTCATTTTGTTTCTCTTACCTATATTGATTTGATTCAATCAACATACTAATTGCTGCGGCTATCAACATGCAACCATAAAGTAAAAATATATACTATGTAGTTTATATATTTAGTTGTACTGTATATATATTTTTATATACTGCCATATGTATATATGTTATATATAATATTATCATGTATTATTCCATCGGTCCAATTTCTATTGTCTTAAAATATATTTGCACGGTATTTTAAGTGATTCTCTTTTTGGTATGAATTGACAAATTTACCCTTAAGGGTATGATAAAGATTAAAAGTAGTAAATGAATTAAAGATAAAAAGTAAAATTTGTGTTTAAAAAAGGAAAATAAGGCAATAGTTATAGTACATTCCAAATAAAAAAATAAGACGTTAGTTTGTGAACGGAGAAAGTATTATTTATGTGTTGTTTGTTTTGTATATTTGCGCTAACTGAGTTAAATTAGCATCGTGCTTATTTAACTTAGCTGGCGCGATAACCAGATCACTTGTTCTTATTTATATTCACTATTTTTCCCCCACATTTCCTCAATAACTTAGGCTCTATTTAGACAAAAGTTTTTGTATATATACGAAGTTCTACAATTACTTTGAATAATAAAAAAAAAAATTTAAATATTTGATGTGATGATTTAAAAGGAAAAAAAATGAAAGATATGCAATATAATATTTTTTTCGTCTCAATTTAATGTATATTTTTGTTTATCCATTTTTTGTGCGTTCTATTAAAAATTTTCATTTTCAATTATAGTAATGTGTTTGTTTTTGGTGTCAAACCAAAAATTATATTATTAACCAGAAAATGTAAAATGCAGTTGGATAATAATAATAATAATAATAATAATAACCCAAAGTATATGCCCACTCTAAATGATGAAAAGTTAAAATGAGAAGTAAGAATGGTGGGTAGGGTAGGGTAGGGTAGGGTAGAGTAGGGTTATAACAATGACATATGTAGAGGATGTCTAAGTAAGAATTAGAGTCAGCTAAAACTATATATAATTAAACATACATGGTACGTAGCAAAAGATATATATATATATACACATGCAATATAATGCTACTGTGTGTTTGTTAAATAATTATAAGATGATTTGTAGTTTATACATTGGTTTGGCGTTCCTTACAATAATACAATTAGTTTAATTAAGAGTGAATCATGTGTTGATGTAGAAATCGTATTGACAAGGACAATATAATAATTTTTTCTTATTAGTATATACTTAATCTCATATAAAATACATAATAATTTTAAATTTATATATGAAGATTTTAATTGTTCAAATTTTATTTATTTATTTTTTTTCTATCCAAAATATAAATATATTGGAAGTTATCTAATTTCATCAAGACATTTACTTAGATCGGACTACATTTGGCTATTCGGACCAAGTTTTTGAAAGATTGCAAATAGAAGTTTTTTGTCTAAATTGTTTTGAGAAGGTTTTTAGGTTTGTAAAAATTTGTTCTTTTAAATACGAGTAATTTGATATAAGCAATCGATAAACAAAAAATAATTGCGAACAAAACAAAGATGCAACACAAGTATGGATAAATATTCAACAATTATATATGTATATATATATATATTGTATTATAAATCATCATAATACATATAAGTATTCGGAAAATACATTCAATTTTATATAATTGTCGCCAACACATAAATAAACAACAAGTCAACAACAAGAAGAAATCATAATGCTAATAATAATAGTAATAATAATAATAATAATTGTTCTTAATTATATCATGAGTTCAAACTCTCAATATTTTCTTTCAAATCAACAATAATGTCTTTACCTAGAACAATTATAAATAATAATTCAAAATTTCTATATTAGCAAACCATAATATATCACACATAATATTAAACAATAGTATATAAATATATATATATATGTATATAAATTTTTTCCATATTTCTATAATTTAAGATCAGTTGTTAACGGGATTTACTCAAAGTGCACTAAAAAATAACAGCGAAGATTTCCAAGTTATCACAAATAAAAGAATAAAAATCAATTGTTAACAAATTCAATTTTTTACTAATATACGTATATTAGTAAAAAATTGAATAAAATACTACTCCTAATATTTACCTCAATCATTCAACTATAAATATACCGAGACATTTATATACTTTTAAAGTAAGTTTCTTTTTAAAATGACATATTTCTTTCCAGAGGCGAACTAGACCAGGATGGAAGGGGGGTTAATTTTTAAAATTTTTGAAACGATCATTATCTATTTGTTATCCAATAATTTTATCAGTGAAGTTATCATATTTCGAAAACATTGTAAAATACAATTTACATTGACAACTGCATATTACAAGATAAATTTTGTATTATATGAAATTGACAAATAATAAAAACATTTATTAAAAAAAAAGCCGTTAAAAATATCATTTTATGTGTATTTGCTTGAGAAATTTTTGAAGATTTTTTTAATTACTATTTATTACTTTTTTGTTCATATCTATTTTTATGTTATCAAAAAATTATTAAGATATAATTTTTTTTATTATTCAAAATTTAAATTTTCACATAAATATTCTATCAATTTTTTAATTTATTTATTATTTTTTATATTATATATTATAAAATAAAAACAAAAAATTAAAAATTATAAGGGGGTGGGATGGGGGGAGGGGGAGCCCCCTTACCCCCACATACATCTACCCTGTTTCTTTCTACTATTAGATTTGATATATTCAAAATTTCACTTATATATAATTTTTCCCTTTCCTCTTTTTTTTTTTTTTAAAAAAAAAAAATTCTTATACATACAATTTAAAATTTCAAATAAAAAGTAATAACAAAATAAACAAAAAAAAATATCTAAATTATATTACTAGTGCCAAATAAAAGAAAATACAAAACTAGCAAATAATTTGGAAAAAGGGAGCATAGTGTATCCAAATCCAACCGCAGAAACTTATAAGCCAATCCCATGCTGATAAGTTGAAACATATCATGGTTGAACCTAGAACCTTCCAGTAGATATATATAATAGATAGGTAGGTAGGTAGGTAGGTAGGTAGGACAACATTACCTCGTACATTCTTCACCTATCCTCTAATTGTCTGTGTAATCAATCTTTAAGAAACTTTACTACATTTAATTAATTAATGATGTGTTGAATCTACATGCACGTACGTGAGTAACCTTCTTTACTCTAATGACAATATACTGATTATTATTATTTTTTATTTATTTCATTTAAAAGTATGTAATTTCTATTATGGTAAAAAATAATCTATACGTACAATATATATAAAAAAATTATTATACTATACTAGGCCAAAATGTTATTATATAAGTCAGATATACAAATATAAAAAAATGGACAATTTATATTATTGTCAGTGCATTAAGCACCAAAATCTGAATTTTCTTTGTCCGGAGGCACAAAAGAAAAGAATGTCTCGTCGTGATTATATTCTGTATTGCTGAGTTGAGTCATTCGTTACATTTAAAGTGTCAAAATTATAGAAAAAATATATTTTACATCTTTGCAAAATCATTTCACAACTTATATGTCAAGCTTGATATTTTCCCTTTATTTGGAGACAAAATGGACAATTTTTTTGCGAGGCACGACTCATATCGAATAACATATAAGTTGTGAAATGATTTTGCACGTTAAGGTTTAATATATATGATGAAGACAACTAAATTGCAATTCAATAACAATATTGGTTAAATCGTAAGTTTATAAAATATAAGATACATATTTATGTGCCTACATCAGTACATAAATACGATTTTTTGCAATTTTCGCAAATACGATTACACCTCTTTATAGGTTTGCACTGCTACATACAAAAACAATAATAAATCAAACAATATCATCCTCCTAATTATTGGGAATTTCGTAGTAGAAAGAACCTATTCTTGAATTCAATTAATGATAATTTTTCGGAATTCAATTTCAAGATTGTCCTAAGTAAAGCAAAAAAATTTCCAAGAGAATTAATCTGGCGAAGCATGTAGGTATTTTTTTTTCGAAGATCCGTTTTGGTGAATAACGTGTTGAATAAAGTTGTGACATAGAGGCCTTAATAAATATACCTTTGAATTGAAATATAACTATATGTATAATTGGTAACACAGTTTGGACCAATTTCCTAAATTGTGTCAAGTTGGAATCAATTGATTTATTTGATACCGACCAAACCTTAATGCAACATTGGAACTTAATTAGCTAACTACTGAGAAAATCAAATTGAATAATAATAATAATAATAATAATAATTAATTTCTAATTATGCAAATAAAATAAGCATGCACAGAATTGGAAGGATGTCCCTATCCAGAAAAGATTCCTTAACAAAAAATCTACCCGTGACACATGATGCCAATCATTATAATGTTTGTTCTCTGTACCTAAGGCAATATTGAAGCAATTAAAAGATATATATATATTTATATAAAGTTCATATACCTAACTATTTGAAGAAGGCCCTATAGGTTTTAATAAATTAAAGTTAACACAATATATTTTGGGTAAATTATATCTACAATATACATGTCTTATATATATATTATTATTATTATTATTGAACCATGGTACTTTCCTATCTATGATTTCCATATAATAATAATTATCAAATAAACCTCTTATCCTAAAAAAAGAAAATAAAGAATACAAGTCACGCTTCTTTAACCTTTTTGTGGATACTTATGTAGTCAAAATGAGGTAAATTAATATAGCATATATATAGGGAGTTGTTAGATATATAAAAGTGAACCAACAGCCAATATTGAAAAGGATTAAAATATAGCAATGATTTTGTTTGAAAAGATGAATCAGTTATTATTATAGTATTTAACAGATGTGATGTAGTTGTATTTAATTATTAAGATATCACAATATATATTCATATGGTATGGTGTGTTATAGTAATAATTATAATGGTCCATGTGAGGTGTGAAAAGTGTATTCAAGGCGTTCATATTTTTAGGTGCACACATTGAAGAGACATTCAAAATTCTTTCTACAAAACATTTTAGCCATGCATGTGTATGTATTATACATATATGACTACGACATTAATTTATTGTACAACAAGATATGAATGAATATCCAGAGAGGTTAATCAATCTCTTCTTGACATTTCATTCTGATCACTCCAGCTACAAAACAAACATACATTGTGTATCATACATACATACAAATATATACATACATACATATATATATATATATATATAGAGAGAGAGAGAGAGAGAGAGAGAGAGAGAGAGAGAGAGAGAGATGGAGAGAGAGAGAGAGAGAGAGATGGAGAGAGAGAGAGAGAGCAATCAAGCATGAATGAAAGTGGGTGAGAAGTGAAGTGGAGGGCCCTATGGAACAAAAATGACATATTAACAAACAATTTTAATTTCATTATTTTTTCTTTTCAAAAAAACAAGAAAAAAACGAAAGAACACTGAAAAGAAAGCAAAGTGAAGAGAAAAAATTGAAAAAAGTGAAAGAGATAGATGGTAAGAATTAAGCATCTTCTATTCTACAAGGTTGGTGTAGACTGTAGAGGTAGCTAAATAGTACATATGTGTAATAACCTCCAAAAATCATCACAACCTTACAGCTATCAATTTACCTATATAGCTGCATGCTGTAGCCCTGTACTGTACTGTAAGAGATCCATCCATAGTAGAGCTAGGGAAGAAGATACAAACAAGTACATCCACCCCACCCCCACCCCCACCCAACAAACCCCAAATTAGATCTACTGTTCCATTCATTTCTGTATATCTTCTTTTACTCCCAATCTTAACACACAGCTCAGTCAGAATTAAATTAAAGAAGATGAGAAGGAGCCGAAATACAATTACAATGTCGTCTGCACCCTCAAATCTCTGCCTCTGCAATTTTCTCAGTCACCATAAAGCAGCAGCAGCAGCAGCCATTACACTTTTTATCAATTAACTTTCTTCTTCTTATCTGAAAAACCCTTGAAAATATTGCCCCTCTTATATCGTTTTTTTTTTTTTTGTCTTTTACTACTACTTTCTTGATCTTCAGCTTGATTAATCTCTCGACCTATAATTAACTAGCTAGAGATCAGATCATCTTATAGGGAGATCTGACTTATCTGCTGTGTTTTGGCTTTTCTATTTCTCAAATTTTCTTGGGATCTCTTCCAGCAGAAGCAGAAGCAGAAGAAGCAGGCCTGTGAATCTTGGCAGCTGTCAGTCTACTCTACACGCTGTAAAAGCAAGATTAGGTTGTGGAAAAGAGGAAAGCCTAGGAAAGTGAAGGCAGTTTTTCAGAGGAGATAAAAGCTGAAGCAGAAGGGCAAATTTAAGGAGCATAGCAATATATACATACAAATATATATATATACATCTGTAAGCAAGCTAAGATTATTAAGTATTTAATTAAGTGATGAGAAGGGGTTTGTTGGGATCGGATGAGCCAATGAAAGGTCAAGTTGGAGGAGGAGAAATTGTACAGGTGAAGGGTGGGCACATTCTGCGCTCCACCGGCCGGAAAGACAGACACAGCAAAGTCTACACTTCCAAGGGACCACGTGACCGGCGCGTGCGATTATCGGCCCACACCGCCATCCAGTTCTACGACGTCCAGGACCGCCTCGGCTACGACCGCCCCAGCAAGGCCGTCGATTGGCTCATCAGAAAGGCTAAATCCGCCATTGATGGTCTCACACAGCTCCCACCATGGCACCCTCCCACCGCTGAAGAAGACTCAAACCCTAGCTCCAACGACCTCGCCCTCGACCCCCACTCCGCCGCCCCCTTAATCGCCGCCGGCAGCAGTAGCAACTCCTCTTTCATGGCTTCAGACTCCATCGTCAACGCAATGAATAATTCCTTCCCGGGCTTCACCACCACCGCCGCCGCCGCCGCCACCAGGGCGGAGGCGGCGGAGTTAGGGCTGTCTCTCCACAGCGACGGCGGAAATTCCGGCAACTTGTTCCCCGACTGTTATCAGAGAATCAACGGGTTGGATGGTAGGGTTGGATTTGGCGCCATGAATTCACAGGCGGCGGTTGAGCCTCACGCGCTGCTCTCCCAAGGGCTGCTGCCTTATTCTAACAGGGAACTCCTTCAGTCCAATTTCGGGGATCAATCATGGAACCTGCAGAGGCCGTTGCCTACCGCCGCCGTGTTTCAGCAGCACGCCAATGGCTGCCAATCCTCCGATTTCGGAAGCCCTTTCGACTTCGGATTATTCGGCACCCCTGCAAGAATTATTTATGGAGAGGAAGAACCCGACAGCCATGTCTAGCTAGCTTCAAAGGATTTTCGTCTTCTTCTTCTTTAATAAATAGGTAATCTTTTTTACCTTATTTTACCCTGAATTAATATTCCATTTTGAATTAATCTTGTGATGCTAGCTACTTTAAACTGCAGCATATATTAGGATCGATCGAATCCATCCAACAGTGTGGGATTTCATTAATTCTTGCATTACGTACACTTGATCAATATGTTATCATTTTTGCTGGACTAAATTTATTTAACAGATGTGGGTTTCTCCAAACTCCATATTCTGACACAGCTACTGTTTTGGTGATTTGGTTGTATACTTAGAATTAGTGCATTCTGGAATCGATTCGGTCATGTCTGATCATAAAGACACCTTCAATTTGAGGCCAAATCTTTGCAGGAAAAAGGGTATTAATTAATTTATTTGCAAGAATCGAAAGTTCGTATAAGCTAGTGTCTAATACAGGAAGGGGATTTTCAGTTCTTGAGTATTATTACTGTTGCTATTATTATTAAGGCAAGGGCTTCGTACAAACTCCATTATTATTCATAGAATGATTATTTGAAAGAAATCATACGAACAAGAAACAGTGCTTCTTAAATTGCATGTGCCCATTGTAGGCTTGTAGTACAAACAAGAAAAATTTACTGCTCTTAATTAACTTTTCTCTTTTCAAGTAAGTTTGAAATCTTCGAGCTCTAACAATTATTTATTATTTTCCATGATTCTGGAAATGAGAACTGCATGATGTCTGGTTACTTGGTTCAAAATTCCAGGTAAGTTTCTAAAACAGGCATAGCCAACTTGAGCTAGCTGCTGCTGTGTTTCTTTGTGTCAGCAAATATTGATCGATTTTGTTTAATGAAAAAAAAAAAAATAATACAAAGCTGTCCTTTTGCAGATACCATTCATTATAACAACCTTGATTGCTTATCCCCATAATACTAGTATTTAAATAATATCTGATGTTATATTTCGTTAAAAAAAAAAAGTAAGACATACAAAGTTAAAATAAAAAAATTTGAGAAAATTTTGTCAAAGGACCAACACCCACGGAGCTCGACAAGAGAGTTGGGGGTTTTAAGTCACTTATAATTTTTTCTTAGTAGGATAGTATAAATTGGCACAAATATAGTATGAACACGCAATATTCATAAAAAAAAAAAAAAAAAAAAAAAAAAAAAAATTGTAACAAAAATAGTAATGAAATGTAGTGTCGATTTAAAGTTTTTGCCTGCGACAACTTTACGTTGCTATATAACACAAAAGCAATGTTGTACCCATACGCAATACTTACCTTGATAATATATGAATTATACATGTTTCACTCAATGGGAATCTTGATGATTAATTCATGAAGTCCCTACATAAGCAAGCTCCAAAGTGTAAAAAGTGGGAGAACAAGGAGAATGATAAATAAATAACTAATAAAAACTTAAGAAAAAAGGAAAGGAAACCAAAGTTGATAAAAAGAACATGCAAGACTTCAAAAGAGAAAGAAAGAAGCATACATTATAACAAAAGAAAAGAAAAGGAGATGGAGACTTAATTAAGGATTGTTTCATCGAATTTTTCGATCCCATTGTAATAAATGTATCGTGTTTGTGTTGATGTTGATAGGAATCATGTATGTGTGTGTGGGTGGTTGTGTTTGTGTTTGTGTTTTTTTTTTTTTTTTTTTTTTTGGGGTAGTTTGAGTTTGAGATGATCTTTTGATTTTTAGAAATTTTTAAATAAAAAATAAATATCAAGTATATAATTTTAAAGATCCAAAAAAAAATTTGAATATAATATTTTAAGTTTGACATAAGTATTGAATAAAATAGTTTATGGTAAAAATAAAGGAAAAAGGTAAAAGATTTTTCTATAGATCTAACTAATGTGAAACAATACTGTGAGAAGACATTCAAGTTTGGTTACTTTCATAAATGGTTTTCATATATGTTTTTTAATAAATAAAAAACGGGAAAGATTATTACATATATTAAGTTATGAAGAATTCAAACTTATGATTTATACTCTCTTTTGTAATTTTGATTTTTATTTCTTATTATTTTGGTTTTTTTTTTTTTTTTTTGGGATCGGATCGGAAAAACCAAACAAACAAATTTGGCTCTGTGTACATCGTTGTTACTTTCAATTTACCACAGAAAGTAAAAAAATATGATAATTTATTGACTCAGTTCGGGTGTAAATAATATATTTTGGAAAATACCTATCTATCAACTCAACACTAGTATGACCAGTAGTTAAGGATTTGTTTTTGCATATTCTCCAAAAAAAGGCATCGTACTAGTGAAGTTTATGTGGGACTTATAAGGTATGAATTTTTTTCACTTCCCCTCAAACCAAGACCAACTTATGGGCCTTCTCTGCCACCTTGTACCTTCTAATATAAAGGGACCTGTCTGACCAACAACAACTGTCGACACCGACCCAACACCAAAAGGAGACTTTTGACACAAGGCACCTCCACAGCAGGTCACGAGGGCAAGCCCACCACCACAACCAATGTCCAATGCTGTTCAGTCCACTTCACCGTTGAACCAGGCTCTGAGCTTATTCCGCTTTGAGCTTAGTCCGCACGGATTTGTTTTTAGACTTCCTTCAAAATGCCTCATTCTAGTGGAGTTCATTTGGGATTTATAAAATGTGAAATTTTATTTGCATATTTCAATGTAGGACTTGGGTTTGTACCCCAACATAGGCCCACGGCATCTTCGAGCCACTTTTCCCCCTCCTTGAACATTAAGGTTGTTTTGCATTCAAGAAGCAAGATTTCTACTTTAAAGAGTATTCATTTTTTGCCTCCGTAAATTCCTCAGTTTTGGGGCTTCGAACATTTCCACCTGCCACAACGGCCCTTCTCGCAATTTCAGCTTATTCTAAAGACTCTCCAACAAAGAAAATGCAGTAACAGCGGCGACGACAAGTTCCAGAGGAACTTCAACCACCAGCCACCGCCGCCATACAAACGGACGCCAAAATCCTTTTTTTTTTTTTTGAAGAAAAATGTATATATTTCATTTTGCGCCACAATTTTAAAATTGAAACACATGTTCTGAGTGCAAGGCCATTGATCATAGAGAATTTGATGAACACAAGGTATATAGGTCAAAAAGAAAGGCATCGAAGATGAGGAAAATTCAGAGAAATAGTAGAGTTTCTCACTAAATAAAAATTTGATGATTACATGGTACACGAGTCGAAAAGAAAGGCACCATAAAGATTCTCAACCTATGACTTAATCATATCCTAGCTAGTTAATCATAATCTCAATCAAATAAAGGCAAAACTATATAGTCCCAGTCAAGTCAAAATCAAATCAAATCAAATCTATATATCAGAGATTTGCAATGACAAAGAAAATTGAATTTTTAGGAAAACTATCTGAATTTGGTGGATTTTAGATCAAATTTGCATCTATAGTTGTAACTTTGTTTCCTTTTATGCTCAACATATATATATATATATATAATGATTTGATAGAGGCTGATGAACTAACAAGTCTCTTTGATCTCTTTCAAGATATATTTAATTGTTCTGTTCTTTCTAGAACTATAGATGATAATATGGCCCAACATAAGTGTAATTCAAAATTTCAATTACATGATGAAGAGCAAGTTTGATATTCAAAAGTTTTGAGAATGAGACATCTACATATGAAATTCCTGGAATGTTTCAACCTGCATAAAATATGAACCTATTGCAACATCTCTTGTTGCTCACTTCAAGCCAAACAAACCTTTGTCTTCTTGACAATGTCAAATTGGGCAAGAGTTGATCCATTTCCGGCAAATGTTCAGTAGTTGTAACTAACATAGTACTGCACAACTAAGATTCGATCCCTGATTCGTTAGAAGTTGTATCACCAAGACACAATGCATAGAGCTTATCGGAAAACTATTCAGAACAAACGTCCAATGCACAACATAAATCCTACATTTGATTTGTGTATCCAACTAAATCCGTAATGCCCAAATCATAACTCAACTTGGAATGCAGCAGAGCATATAATAAGAATATGATCACAACTAAGATCCCAAACTCACAACCATTTTGATATTAGACGAATATTATTGCCGGAAACCAAATTATGTCCCGAATTCGCTTACACAATGTAGAGATATTGCACAACAAAAAGATAGGAAATATACAGTTGACGTATTTCAGTGAAGAAACCAAGAATCATCCATTATCTTCTCTGCTAAAATCTTCTCGGCAAGAATCCGAATTTCTAGCTACATTCAAAACTGACGATACGAGTACCTTACAAGATTCGTGAGGCTGCAAAGAGAAGTGTAATTGCAAGTAATTCCCAGGCCCTATTGAGAGCTAATGAACTGCTGCTCAGATAAGCTGTGCTACCTGATCCTGATTCGGATCCGGCCGCCGTCGTCGCCGTAAAGTTCCCATTCAACGAGCTTAAGCTGCACAGATTTAAATTCCAGTGTAAAACAACAATTCACCAGTTCTAGAGCTAATTCAATGATGCAGATGGTAATTCCCCCAATACTCATACTATCTTATTCTAATTGAAGCCCAAATGATTGCATTCAAATTCGAATTAGTGAACAAAACAGAGCATAAAATCTACCGAAATTCTCTCACCTGGATGGAAAATTGCAGTTATGATGACCTGAACATCAATAGAAGAATGAAAATTAAATAAGAACAACAGCGGTTAAAAGTAAACAGGATTAAATAAATTGAAAAGGGGATTGGAGAAAGTAACTAGGGTTTAGCGAAGTAAGGGCAGCAGTGCTGCCAAAACTACAGCTTTCATCGGAGGGGCCGTGCTTGACGTAGTAATCGTTGAAGGCAAACGACGCCGTACGCTGCAGGTCCGACGCGTCGTAGCAGGGCCCGCCTTTCTGGATGGGCCCACAGTCGGCGCCGCCATAGCCACAGCACCAATCGAGGGCGGATTGCAGGGCGGCGTCCTCGGCGTTGTTCTTCGCCACGCACCACAGCTGCCTTCCGGCGCCGGCACTTCGGCCGCCTTGGGCTGCCGCCGCCACGGCCATTAGAGAGCATAAGAGGAAAAGGAGGGAGGTAACGGAGGTTGAGGCTGAACCCATTTGCGGGTGGAGGAGGGAGAAATTGAAGAAGAATCGGTTAAAATGGATGAGTGAGAAAGAGAGTACAATACACCTACGCGACGGTTTTTTGCACATTGTTTAAAAATATCGAGGCAGGAAGCAGTGGCGCAGAGAATTAGACCGTTGGGGCTTCACGAGATCTGTGCTGTGCAGACAAAACGAGATCTAGACAAGACGGGAAAAAAAATGTGTACATACAATATATACATACATTGCTACGCTTCGATGAAACTCTTCTCGATTTTCGAATTGCGATGGGAACCAAACGGCATGGCCACAGACAGTGTTTTCTTCAAAGTCATCTTTTGCAGCATTATTTTATATCAATCAGGGACTGTAGTAGAATAGTGTTTTTTGTTTTTTTTTTAATATGTATAATAAACAAATTTTTTTAAAACATATATATCTATTGGGAATTTTTGTTTTCAAATAAATATATTAATAATGCTTTTTTTTTTTTTTTTAAGTGATAAAATTATTCTACATCGGACGTGATATTACAGTAACAAACACGTAAATGTATGTATGCATGCCTAGATTTGTTTGAGACTTGTCGCTGAAATGCTTGTCGGTATTGTTAATTTGGTAATTTTGTAAGAGTATAGATTAACAGGAAAAAGCAATTATTTGGAAAATAATTGAAAAGATGACATATGCCGACGTGATACATATTAAATGAGAGAGAAAAATGAAATGAAACAAATGGTGCTTTCGGCTTAAATTATAAGGAAAGTGGAATAAAGATTTCAAACATTTTTTTTTATTCGATATTCACTAAAAGTTTTTATTGGTTTGAAATCAAGGAAAGTGGAATAGAGATTTCAAACATATTAAAAAAAGAAAAGAAAAAGAACAATGTTCATAAAAAAAAATTATTGGTTTGCAAATTGATTTCGACTAAAAAGTCTCTAACCAGAGAATCAAATATAGTTTCCAAACAATTCAATACGCATCAAATAAATAAATAAATAAAAGAACAATATTTGATAAGAAAAAAGGTGACAAAAAAATTGGCTGGAGTTGATTAAAATAAATTATATCGAATTAATATTAGAAAAATATGATAAAGAAAGGGAATGGATAAATGATAAAATTCAAGAATCATCCTTCCTATCCCTTGCATATATCTTTCTTACTTGTATAACTTTGTACAATATTGCTTATCAGAATTTTCTTTACTTTATTCATTTTGCATTTAATATCTCTGAATATCCTTCAATTTATAATTTATTGATTTAAGTGTAACAAGGCTTGTTTTCTTCCTTTATTAACTCTTCATTTTTTCTTTTATTGGCAATGGATCATACTCGATTCCTTCGAATTTGCATGTCATTGGGCCATATGCAATTATTTGTATTTCTATTTTATACTTGCTTCGTAATTTGGTTTCATTTTTTCTAATGAGAATAGTATATTTTTTCTTGAGGAATGTGAATATTGTAAATTAGATATATAAACATATTTGTCTAAGGTAATCTAAACCTTAGATCATATATACATGTCTACAAAAATAAACATGTTTCTTTAAATTAGAGTTTTTAAACTAAATTATTTAATATTGGTGGATGATCAATATTTGAAGTTGTATTTGTTGGATATATTATTTTGCATTATATTACTGCCTTAGTCTCAAATTTTGTGTCATAGTTATTGTAAACACGAAAATTTAAGAATAATATATATAATTAGTAAATAATTAAAAATATATTAGTAAAAATAATTACACTATCATACAAATAATTATAAATTAAAATTAAAAAATTAATTAGTCTAGTTAAAAATAAAATTAAAATATATTATTTTTCAAATAAATAAATAATTATGGAACATACTGAAACAGCAACGCAAATAAGAAATGTGAAACAATATAATGTTGGATATAGTTCTCCAAGTGAATCATCACACATCCATTCCTATATGATCTCTCTATACATATGACTTTGTACTATCCACCTTTCTTTGTATAAATCTTTTGTGATCACTCTAAAAAAAATGATCTAATGATAGATATTACCGATGAAAGTCAAGTAACAAAGTTTTCCATCCTATTGTATTCAAAATACCGGATTATTATCTATAATATAGTGTATCCTAGCATCACAATTGTGTGCTTCATCCGGATACCATACCCTACAAAGAAAGATCACTTACGGTCCATAGTAGATCAACACCCATGCAAAAAATTTGTTTTGTATATGCATCATAAATTATGTATCGTTCTTCCCAAATTTTAGCAAACCTTTTGAAAAATGGTTGCATATAAACATCAATGATCTTTTTTGAATTTTTCGGTCCAAAGATGATAACTAATAAAAACATATATTTTTTTTTTCTACAAATATTGGATGGAAGATTGTACGAGGTTAGAACACCATGCCGATTAGAAGACTAACTTCCACCATAACTACCAAGTAGAGCGGACTTGTTAGTGCATAATTATAACTACATATTATTACACATTGGCATTATTCAACCAAAAATTTTGCACAGATCATTATATACAAGATCTGATATATATGTTACTATGTGTCTAATACGCAAGATCTCAATCACGGTCGAAAATTGTGTTTCACCAACATAACCTTCGTATAATGGTTTATTATCTACTCATAGTTCAAATTGGTTATTAAATCGAAAATAATAACATATCCTTCAAAGGATCTCAATGTACATATGGATCCACCAGTTCTATTCATGGTGCTATCGTAGAAAATATTTTATGTAAAGATGGTGATAGCGCAAATATACTACGTGTTGTATTGCTTAGTTTTGATAAAAGCACTTATTAATAAATGTATTTTGAAAAAAAGAAGGGAGTTGATATACCTTCATTTTTACCATGATCTAATCCAAAGTTGTCATCGGCATATAACCGGTGTGGGTGTAATTGCACAATAATTTGATTATCCCTATTTTTGTTGGAAAATTAGGGCTCAACCAAATCTCTTTCGAACATTAAGAAATAGGTCAACTCTCCAAAGCGTGATAACTCACAGTTGTAACAACGCATTGTCAATGAAATAAATACTGAACTCTGAAGCAATAAATGAGACAGATGTTTGGCAATCCAGTTCGGTTATTAATCAACCTACATCTGTGGAATCTCAATCCAATATAGTTCACTATAATCAATATTGAACATAGTACGAAATAACTACAAATTCACTTAACTAATATTCTCCATAAAAGTTTACCTTGCATTTATTGCACAAGTACTGGTTGTCACAGACGTGTATCGACTCTAGTATCTACAACAAGCCTAGAGTATTGTATGTGCTTGCTATTTTTGGGGACTGAGATTATTTTCATTTGTAGTTGCTCAAAAATATCAACACTTCACTATGAAATAATTATGCATGATAATTAGATGACACATCCTATACATAGGTGTAATGTGACTTCCTCGTGAAATGTATATTTATTATTCCTTCCGTTCCAAAATTATAGTTTGAGTTGTGTTTGACACGAGATTTAAGGAATATTGATATTATATTGGTAGTGGGTAAAAAGTACGGGTAAAAAAACTTTTTTGTCTTTACGAGTGTATTAGTGTAAAATGTAGTGACAATTGTGTAATAATAATGAAAAAATAAGGGTAGTTTTTATAGTGATATGATTATTTATGGAAAAATAAGACTATTGTTTTAGGACGGACAAAAATGGTAAACAAGACTATTGTATTGGAATGGAGGGAGTAGTATTTTTGTTATTTAAACATAGATATAAAAATTTTCCTCAACGGCCCGATCATTCTATATATATGCCCACATTATAAAATTAATAATAGTTGCTCCAAATTACGAGGACATTTTATATTCTTCATATAACACTCTAAAATACGTTTGAACTTAAAAACTTGCAAATTAGATATTGAGAATTTAAAATCATGATCTTGCGGTCACGAATTCACTCCAAAGACACCATGTGATAGAATAGTTTATATATATATATATATACATGATTGAATTTGTGTTTGGTTGTTGATTGACCAAATAAAGTTCAGAGATGGGAATTGGGAAGACCGTAAATTTAACATCAAATCACAAACAAACACTGATGATTACTGATAGATGCTTTCTTCTTCAGTACATCGATCCAATGATACATACAAGATAGCCTTTTTTTTTTTTTTTTCTTTTCTTTTTTTTCACCCTTCTTTTTCTAACAGAGAAAATTAATTGACACGTTTCAAAGAATCACATATTGACGGCACTGACCAAGAAAACTGAAGCAATAATAAAAAATAATTATAATCACACCATATTTAGCCTAATTAATAAGGACGATAATTTATATATATATATATATGTGAAGAAGATTTTTTTGGTCCTAATTAACAGAAGCCCAGAAAAAGAAGGGCCTTTTTATTAGTGAGGATGAGTGGCTTAATTACGAGTCGTCAATCTTCAGATTTCAAATATAATGGAACCTGCATATATAAGAAAATGAATTATATATATATATATGAGTGACACTAAATTAATAAAATCAAACCACAACATGAATCGATTAATTCCAATTCAGATATATATATATATATATATAAAGCATATGCATAGCTGTTCTTCACATTTTGAAAAAGTCTATGTGGCGTTGCCACAATGACAAACAACAAAGGTTATATTATTATTAATTATGTGAATTTAATATAATAATTTTTTGAGTAAAAATATGTATTTGATCTAATTTCATGGGTATGTAAACAGAAAAATACAACCAAATAAACATGTATTTCCATTAAAAATGTAATATTCCATCCAATTTATACAGTTATACCTATGATGATACTATATGCAATATCTAATTTTCACTTAAATTTATACTATATTAAAAACTTATATATATATATATGTATATACACATTATTTGGTTGATAAGTTTGAGTGTGTGTACCTTAGTCCTTAGCTGAGAGAATTTATGATCATTTGACGACAGCAGCCATTTGTTCTTTCTCAAGAGAAGAAGGAGAGTTAGTATCAGCAGCTGGAGATGGCGATTTCGGGCCGGGCCCATTAGCAATATCGACATTCTTGAGGTGGTTCTGTTGGTAGTATATTTTCCGAAGCCTCTCTATTTCCCTCTTCAATGCTTCTTGATGTGCTGCACCACAAAATAATTAATCAATTAATCTTTTATACTCTCTACATCATTTAATTGTGTGCTCATTTGACTGGATACAAATTTTAAGAAAAATAGGTAAGAATATACTTTTTTGGTAAAGAAAAAGTAGAAAAATGATATTTTTTTTTACTAAAAAAATAAAACGAGAATAAATTTGGATTAAGGATAGATAGATTACTTTTTATGTAATAATTCAACCAATTCACTGTGATATAAGGATCATTACAAGCATGCATGTAGGATACTTGTAAATGTTCCTAACTCACAATTTCAGGCTTGGTTAAAATGGAAGCTATCACTATCACATTTATTATGGGCATCTGTTACATGGGCCATTTTGAAAATTTATTACTAATATGCTAGCTTTGGGAAATCTGAATTCCAATCATGCAAGGCCTTTGGGATCCTCAAGGAATAATCTTGTAGTAACATTTTTTAAATTTTAATTTTTTCCTTTTTAGTAATTAAAGAAAGCCAGATCTGAATGAAAAAAGTGGGGCTTAATTAATTATTTATACTGATGCATGTGCATGTGGAGACACAGTGCATATTTACAGAAGAACCAGAAAGCAACTACCTTTTACAATGTCTATATATTAATAATGATCCAATTGTAGTGAATTATAATTTAAATTAAATTTATAGCGTATGCAATAAAATAAATCACATGCCCGCGGACTTAATTATAATACAGTGAAAATTGATGTTTTATGATCGAAAAAATATTAAAATTACAGTTGTTAATGAATAGTATAAAAAAAGTTAAAAGTTTGTATAAACTTGTTAATTTTGAAATATATATATATTGATATTATTACCATCTTTGAAGACCTTGTCTTGTGCCAAAGCTGCAATTCTCTGCTTGAGGACACTGTTGTCTACGTTGAGGACCAGGCGCTGGTGGTCCAGAAATGCTACCCTCGGTGATAACACTGATACTTCAGCCTATATAATTCACCAACAAAAATTAAATTAAATCGATTTACAGTTCTTGATGCTTGTAAGAAGAAAAATGTGAAATTTATAATGGCATATTTATATACTTGAAGAGATGTGACACTTCGTTCCAGCTCGGAAATGTACTGCAGTTTCCTAACCCTTGATCTCTGAGCAGATTGCCGATTTGCCAGAATTCTGCAATTGATCGATCGAATTGGACAAATTTTTTGTTATAAAATTTTCCATGCATTAATTTGTGGGGGGTTTTAATTTGTGTAAAAATTGATATACTATACAGTGCCTTTTGATTCTTTTTGGATCGACAATTTTATCGCCGGAAATGTCGCCGGAGGTTGCATGGAGGCCGTCGGCGGCGGCGATGAGGAATGCGTCAGATCTGCAGGAGCTCTGCACTTCGTCGGGCTCGGATTTGAGCTGCACCTGCTGCTGATTCGTCATCATCATCATCATCATCATCTTGTCGTCGTCGTTGATGCTGTTGTGATCGGACGGCGAGGAGGAGGGGTCGTCGTTGGAGAGGGTGGGGCCGACGTCGGCGAACATGGACATGAGCTGGTCGTCGTCGAACCTCTCGAAGTCGTGGCCGGCGCCGGCGCCTGGATTGCAGCAGCTCTTGTCGTCGACGATCATATCGTTATTGTCATTGTTGATGGAGGATCTCCGGCACTGGTCCGCCATGGGGCCGTCGAGGAAGGCGACGGAGTCGCTCATGGATCGGCGGTGCGAGCCGCGCCGAGCCGACGAGAAGTCGAGAAACTCGTCGACCCACGCCGCCGCCTGGCCGGGAAAGTCCGGCCAGGTCGGCACCGGCGCGGTCGGCGCTTTCGGAGGCAACTGCGCCATTTCTGATTCGATACTTACGGCGGAGCGTATATATGTATATATATATATATATTTGTGTAGTGAAGATGATGATGATGGATGAATTAACAAAAAAAAAAAAAAAGATAGAAAATGGAAAGTGGGGTCACATGGATGGATGGATTAGGACAGCTATCAACAGCTATTGCTCCAACACTGTATCTATATCTATATCTATATCATTACAAATAGCAGTTACCATGGCAGGAGTTTAGTTTAGTTTAGTATGTCCGATCGATCCTCAGAGGCCACGTGCCTACATTTCTTTCTCCCACTCCACATTCATTAATTAATCCATCAACCACTTTTGTGTTGTGTTATCAAAATGGAATATATATATGTATGTATATATATATATATATAAATATTTTATAGCTCGATAAGTCATATTAAGCAAATTATGTGTAACAAACAAGATTTTAACTATTCTTCTTCTTGAATTGAATTGGTGCATGAGCTGTAAGTGTGCGGTGAGACAACATTAATTTCCTCTCATAGTGTAGTGAGCCTTGGATGGATCGTCATGTGACTCTACAGGTAACAGTTATGATAGATAGATACAGATATAGATAGATAGGGTAGCCCCCCAGTCTAGTCTAGTATAGTGTTGTAGTGTGTGTATGCATATGAAATACTACTACTGTTCTGTTTTGTCAAAAAAGAAAAAGATTGTACAAGTTAGTACAGTAGAGTAGAGTACATATTGTTGTTCGTTAACATATAATCTAAGACAATGTGAATACAAGTTGGGAATAGGACAGAAGTAGTGTGAGCTATTAGTAGTCAGTTTCCAAAGCAACACTATAATACTCTTGCATTTTCTGCTAACTAATTTTTATTTTTTTTATTTTTTATTAAAGGTATTTTCATTAGCGGAGATTCTTTAAATTTTATTATTTAGACTCTATATTTTTTGAAATAATTTTTTTTTTTACAAAATATTTTATTAAACATTATTTTAATACCAAATTCAAACCAATTTTTTTTTTTTTTCAAACTCATCAAAAAAAATACACAAGTTATGTTCCTTCCGTTCTAGGCACTTTACAATTTTTTTTTGATATATCTTAAAAGTTCTACAATATTTTTAATATAGAAAAAAATATATATATATATTTTAATTTATATTTATATTTATCTTATTGCATCACTTAAATAAATATATATCTTTTTTTCTTCCATATCACCTAATTTTCAAATTATTTTATTTAATACTATCCTCTTAAATTTTCGTGTTAAAAATAAAAATTGCAAGACATGTTTCAGATGGAATATGTATATTTTTGTTGGAAATTGAACAAAGCTAAATAGCACAAAAGAGATACAATTTCTAAAAGGAAAAATACAGCACCGTTTTTTTCATTTACTGGAATGTGATGCAAAATAATAAAAGATTAGCATATCAATATTCAATTCATTGAACTTGACTTAAACTAAAAATGACGTATAAGAGATTAAAATAAACATATTAGTCACTGCTAATTAACATATTCATTGAATTTGACCTAATTTTATAATTACATTTACTAATATGTCTAATATTTTATTCTAAATATTTGTAGCATTTATTAAAAATGGTTAATATCTAACTTATTGTTATACAAAAATGAAGCAACTCAACTGATAGCATCTATTAAATACACATGCAATGATTTCCCTAACAATAATTGACAAAATTTGATTTTAATATTTAAATCGACAAAAAAAGAACATACGTGATTAGCCTTTTATTAAAAATGGTTAATATCTAACTTATGTATTGTTATACAAAAATGAAGCAACTCAACTAATAGCATCTATTAAATACATATGTAATGATTTCCATAACAATAATTGACAGAATTTGTTCATCTTACAGGGACATGATCTGCATTTTCATTCTGTAGATCTTTTTCTTCATCATTGCTTGAACCTGAAAGTTTGAATTTCAAACTTGTCCTTGTACGAATTTTGTTTGTGCATCGTCCCAGTTCCACTCTTCATCCTCAACAAAATGAACATCTCTGCTAACAATGATATTTTCAGTTTGGGGCTGATAAATTTTGTAGGCTTTAGAGATTGTACTATAGCCTATAAAAATACTTGGCGATGCTCTTCTATTTAGTTTATCATGTTTGTTCTGTGGAACATGAGAGAAACATAGACAGCCAAATATTTAACATAGACAGCCAAATATTTTAAGGACCTTCAAAAGTGGTTTATAACCATACCATGCCTCAAAAGGTGTAAGATCGTTCAATGCCTTTGTTGGGAGCCTGTTTTGTAGAAACACATCAGTGTTTGCAGCTTCAGCCCAAAAGTTCTTTTGCAAATTCTTTTCATGCTTGAGATCTCCATAATGTACATGTTTCTTCTCTCGCTAACTTCATTTTGTTGCGGAATATATGGAACAGTAAGCTGATGTTCAATGCCAACATCTTCACAAAATTGGTTGAATATTGCAGAAGTGTACTTTTTTCCATTGTCAGATCTCACCCTTTGAATTTTGTAGCCGTTTTCATTCTCAACTCTTGTTTTGAATTTGCAAAAAACTTGAGTCACCTCTTATTTATATTTCAAGAAAAATATCTAGCACATTCTAGTAAAATCATCAATAAAGATAATACTCTCATCCCAGAAGTAAATATCCATTTGCTTTTTGCATGTAGTTTTAGAAATATTAGTATTAATTGGGATATAGTAGGAAAAAGTAAAAATGACTCAAATAACCTTATTAGTATGTGTGATATAAAGATAACGACATTTGTGTAATATATTGTAAGTTGTAAGGGTATTTGTAACGTTAGGTAGATAGTACAGTTACTAAAAAAGGAAATGAATATTTTGTTATGGGATTGACTAAAATGGAAAACTAGATACTTTGTTATGGGACGGAGGGAGTATAATAGATGCTACCATTGAATGATGGTGTTCTTTGAGATCCACAAACATCTGCGTGGATTAATTGCAACTTTCTTGTTGCCCTACTAGTGGTGCTAAAGAATGCTTTTCTATTTAGCTTTCCAAATTGGCACACTTTGCAACTTGGAATATGATCATCAAATTCTGGAAGATCTTTTGCCAACATCTGTGTCCTCATTCGAAGCATTCATGGATGATGAAAGTGACCAAGCCTTTTGTGCCAAATGTGACATTTTCCAGGGTTAACAAGGCAATATGCTCCTCCTCTAATGGATTTAGAGTAAAACTTTTACCCTTCAGTTTGACTTTTAAAACTATCTTGACCAACTTCATCTTTAATCACACAATATTTGTCTTCAAACAAAACCTTCAGGGCTTTCTCAATCAGTTGACCAACACTCAACAAAATTTGTTTAATTTCAGGAACATAAAGGACATCGGAAATAAGCTTTGTACCTATGCAACATGTCATTGCAATAGTCCCCTTGCCCTTAACAGAGATATAGTCACCATTGTTGATTCTTACTTTGGCGATATTAGTCGGATTCAATTCTTTGAACAAATCTTTGTCATTGGTCATGTGATTTGTGCATCCGCTATCAATTAACTAATTCTCATTGGCTTCACTACCTGCAAAACACGTGGCTACAAAAAGTTGATCCTCATCTTTTTCATTAACCACTTTAGCCTCTTCACCTTGATATGGGTGTTTATATTTGCATATAACAGCTTCATGTCTTGTTTGGTTGCATTTTATACACTTAGCATCTGGCCTTCTCCAATATTTAAATTAAGGATGCCCCTTTTTTCCACAATACTTACAAGGTGGATAGTCATTTTTCTTTGCGTTATTCCATTTTTTCTTAGATTGGCCATCTGCATCATTTCCATGGCTTGTACCATGATTTTTTTGTGAAATTTCTTCTTGAACTTTTTAGTTTCTTGATGCTTAGCTGGTAAAGCACCTTCAACACCATGCTCTTACCTCATAAGCCTTCGTTGTTCTTGGGCCTGCAAGGCACTTAACAACTCTGCCAACGTGATCTTTGAAAGATCATTTGTATTTTCCAAGGTGGTTATACATGCTTTATATCTTTCAGGCACAGTCACAAGAATTTTTTCTACAATTCTAGAATCATCAAGTGTCCTGCCAAGTAACCGTACCTTGTTAACAATGCCAAGCAGTTTGTCTGAGTATTCCTTTATTGTCTCAGATTCTTTCATCTTTCGCATCTTAAACTCTCGTATTAAATTTAAGACCTTCATTCCACGTATTTTTTCATCTCTCTTGTACTCTGTTTTGAGTTTATCCCATATCTCTTTTGTTGATTTAGGAGACATGATACGAGTGAAAATAGTGGATGAAACGGCAACTAACAGGCACGCTTTTGCTTTCGCCTTTTTTGTTTTTTGTTTTTCTCCTTGTGCACTTTGATTTGCGCCATGGTAGGATTATCTGGAAGCTCTGGAACATCATAATGTGCTTCCACTGCTTCCCAGGGTATGCCTCCATACGTACTGCTCAGATTTGATAATTTTCTCCATAAAAGATTAGTGGAGTTATGAAAGTATAACTGGTTTCGGCTTCCATGGATATGGCTCAGCAAGTCCGGTAGGATAATTGCTCTTATACCAATTGTTGGAAATTGAACAAAGCTAAATAGAGCACAAAAGAATACAATTTCTGGAAGGAAAAATACAACACCATTTTTTTATTTACTAGAATGTGATACAAATATATAAAATAAAGAAATAACAAACTATCCCTAAATTTTAGGTACCTCAACTGCACTTGACTCCACAGCTAACAACTCCATAAAAATAAAATTGACTAAGTAAATAATTATTAATTAATCCTAAAACACAACAATCAACAATTTTACATAAAAGTGTAATTTTCATAAAAATAACTAAAAAATAAACAAAAAAAAAATTAGTTCGAATTATTTTTAAAAATTTAATTAATAATTAAAGAGAATAAAAAGATATTAGCAAACGATTATAATTAAATACTATTTTTTTCAAATATAGTATTAATAAATTTAAAAGACAAAAAAAATAAATAAATAAAAATAAATCTAACAGATGAAAAAAATAAATTATTTCTTA